AAGCGGTTACAGAAGCAGAAAGCAAAGTCTAATCCATATATGGTTATATTTAATTTTATTGACTACTTTATCCTAGTGCTATGTGAGTTTCCCCTCCCCGGTGCTACATGACCTTCATTCATCGTGTTCAGATTTCTCAGGTTTTCTCTCTCTGCTATGCCATCACTACCTCCCTGCTACTATCTCAGGACTCAAACCTAGGCAGTTTTCTTTTGATCCTCTCTGCTACATTAGTGTCATCCCCTTCAATGCCCAGGGGCACCTGAGGGACCTTACTAAAATCATGGGGATGAGCACAGCATGCCAGGGGTCCTACAGAACTAAGTGGAAGCTGGGCTCAAGGCCTTCTGCTCACTGCCCATCACCACTGGAGGCCAAGTCTGCTGGCTTCCTCTGTAGTACAGATGGTCTTCTCTCACCTCCATGCCTGCAACCAGGCTCTGGGTTGAGCACTTCCCATCTTGGCTTGCGGGATGATGTGATCCTAGACTGGGGGTGGACCCATAAGTGACAAAAGGATCTGGATAGGAGGACCCAAGCTTGGGCCTGGGGGCAATTTCTCATGTGGTGCTGCTGGGAGGGTTGTTCTTACCAGGGTGCTCTGACCCTTAGGGAGCCCTTGGTAACAGTATATGTCACCAGGACCCCTAACCCCAGGCTACACTCCTAAGCCTGTGTCCCCAGGATGCCTGCCTCCTCAGCCCTTCCTCCCACATGCTCCCATGTCCTCATTCCTCTCCTCATGCCTTCTGTCCTCCCCCTGAGCCTGCTGTTCTCTTCCCAAGCCTCCTACCCTCCCCCTCAGCCTCCTACATTCCTTTCAGCCTTTTGCCTTCCCCCAGGCCCCTGTCCTCTCCAGCCCTCTGCTCTCCTCCAGCCTCCTGCCCTCCTACACCCTCCCCAGGGGTCTCCTGCCCTCCTCCCAGCCTTCTACTCTTCCAGTTTCCTACCCTCCCCTCAGCCTCCTCCCCTGGCTCCTGTCCTCCTTTATATCCTCTTGTCCTCCTCCCCAGCTTTCTACTCTCCTCCTCAGCCTCCTACTTTCTCACACTCTCCCATCCTCCTCCCATCCACCTGCCCTCCCCTAGTCTCCTGCCCTGCCTCCACCTCTTGGTGGAGCCTTCAGCCTTCCTCCCACCTCCTGCCCTCCTGCCCCTCACAGCCTCACACCCTCCTCCTCAGACTTAGGCTCTTGCTAACCCACACCTAGGCCCTAAAGTCCCTGGCTTTTCTATGGAGCCAGTGGGGTGGGGTTCTGAGGGGACAGAGTTTGGGTCTAAGGTCAGGGGAAACAGACATCCAGGTCCAGGGCCTGTGGGAAGTTGACCTTCTCTCAGAGCCCTCAGCCACCTGCCTGTAGGAAGGCAGTGGGGACTATGCCACCTGGTGCTGCACAGGGGTTTCTGGGCTGCACAAAGGGACCCCAGACAGTCTGTTTCACTTCCCCTTACTCTTGAGGGCAAGTGAACTGAGCACTTTGACACACGGCTATAGATAGAAGGAAAGACTTGTGTTTCAGGTCGTCTCACCAAAGTGGGTGAGTGGGGCCAGAGGGCCCCTTTTGAGCTAAGCTCTGCATCTGTCCATTCTGGAGTGGAGAGGCAGGGGTAACACAGTGGTCTATGCAATAGGGTCTTGGAGCAGCTTCTGAAGGAGCAGACGGTTTCCTCCCTGCATAGCCATGGCAGACGCTCTGAAGACCCCTAGTCCTTGACCTCAGGACCTCATTGTCCCCACCCTCCCCTGGGCTACTGCATGACACCCAGCACAAACAGAAGGCCTCCAGTCAGTGTTTAGTGTACTTAACACAAGTGATTTCTTTAAACTTTGGGAGACAGCAAGATGTGACAACACCAGAAGCAAGACTGGGTCCGAGATCAGCCAGTGCTGGCAGTGCAGTTCATCACACACAGAAACGTTAAGTCACCGAGGTTGTGTCTCTGAATTTGTTGAAGCTCTGCTGCCTGGAACACAGACTGCAAAAGAGAAAGTGCATCGAGACCCGATCGCGCAGCAAGGCCCCGTGGAGGGAAGACACGGGAGGTAGGAAAGCAGAAGCTTGCTAAACTAAAGGCCAGTGCATGGCAGGAAGATAGGCTGAGGCCTGGTCCCTGCATCTCTCCTGGTCAATGCCTCTGGGCACAGACAGCCACAGCCAATGCCAATGTCAGTGGTTCTGGGCAGGGGTGGGGCTTCCACACAGTAAGGGCTCTAGGCTCTGCACACACCACCCCTACACACACTGTAGGCCAAGTTCCTTGCACAGGGAGGGTCCCAGCATCTCTCTTGATCGACAGCTCTACCCCCAACATACTCCACTTCATACAACCACTCACTCACACATGCACATCCCCACATGCTCAAACATGCAGTCTATAAAGGGCCTTCGTCCATCCTTCCTTCCTGGCTGGCCCAGTTAGAGGCTTCAGCTGGGGGTCCTGCTGCCCAGAGGCTGACACCACAATTTGAAAGGGTACTGGGTGTGCCTCTGGCTTCTGCTTCTCCAGCCCAGTGTGGATATTGTCCCTCACATGTGGCCCCCTGTGGATAACAGGCCCCAGAGGTGGTCCTGGGTGGACAGGGCTAGAGTGGATGAGAGGGTCCAGCAAGATCAAGGTTCCAGGAGACTTGGCAAAAGGAAGGAAGCCATCAGTCCTGAGCTGTGGGAAACCACAGGGGGCAAGTGGCAGCCCCTTCCAGCCTGTGTCCTCAGGGTAAGACAGACTGAGATCTTCATTGGGGTCCCTGGCTCCAGTGGGCAGGGGAGTAGGTGAGGCTGGGCTATTGTGTCCCCAGGGGTGGCCATACTGCTGCAGGTTTCTGTCCCAGGAACTGAGTATATGGGCCTGGAGCTACCAGCACCAGGGGAGCAGAGGGGAGCAGAGATAGGGATGGGTGGTGAGGGCAACCGTGGCCTCTCCTGGCTGCTTTATGACAGCAATAGTAGCAAACCTGGGGCCTCCTGGACCAATCTCAGTCCCTCTAATGAGGTTCTCCTGTGTGATCCTGGGGATGGGGCCTAAGCCTGGGGACAGAGAGATGGATCCCAGCCCCATTCCTCTTTGGGTTTATTCCTTCATCCTCCTGACTACTTCATGTCGCCAGGAGACACATCACCACTATCAACAACTCCCCAAACATGCACACTCTACCACCAAACTGAGAGGCTCGTGCCACACAACTGTTGAGGTGCCGTTGGTCAACTTCCAGTGGAATAGGGAGGCTTGGCCGTTGGTAAGGGCTTGGCTCCCCAGGGGTTCTGGGACCCATCTGTCTTGCCCCATCTCTGCTCACTCTTCTTCTTTCTTCCCTGTGACCTTCCAAATCCCTCCAAAGAAAGCCAGATCCCCAGATTCCCTACCCGTGTCACCTCTCCCTAGGTCCCTTGGGAGCTCTGTGTACCCTCACCATCCCACCACCCTTTAGGCTTGGAGAAGACTGGGTTGGGGGTGGAGGAGTGCAGGCCCAGGGGCAAACTGAGCTCCACCCCTCCTATCTGTGTGACAAAGGCAAATCCCAGTCCCTTCTCAGAGCCCCACTGGGCCCATTAGCCTGGAGAACACATCTCTTTCACAGTGTTGCTAGGAGATCTCAGTGCCCTGGGAACAGGGGTCTCTTTCCTAAGCCGCTGATCCCTGGGCTGCTCCACCCCTCTGGGCCTCTACCAGAAAGGCCCTCCCTCTTCTGGGCAGGCCCTTCCTTCAGCTGCTTCCCAGGCAGCTGCTGGAACAGGGCACCTCCAGGTAGGGATCTGACTCTTGACAAGGCCAAAGAAGGGGTGTGCCACCAGCTACAAACACCAGTACCTGAAAAAGAAAGAGATGGAGACCTCAGAGTTGCCTGGCCACCCAGAGAGGTCTCCTTGCCCCCACCTCCACCACAAGGCCTCATCTGTTACCCACTAAGCCCTCTGTCCTCCACACTCCAGCCTGAGAGCTGCTGCCTGCTCATGGAGCCCTTCCCACTTTCCCAGATCCCTTGGGCACACAGTGGGCTTCCCAGGCTGTCCACAGCTGGCAGAGAGCTTCCTTGGCCCTGGGAGGGTCGCCTTAGGCTCTGAAAGGTGCTGGGGCTGACATGGCCAAAGAGCAAGACTGTGGCAGGACGGATGGGAGGAGCCTGTCTTCCTAGGAGGCCCTCAGATGGGGCTGGGGATCAAGAGGGAGAGCAGCAGCAGGCAGACACCAGTCCTCTGGCCACACACACAGCTTAGGAGGCAGTTTTGGGAAGGGCTGCGTGGAGCTGCAGAGAACCCTAGGGGCCTGAGGGCTGAAAAGGGGACAGACGGGGTTTGCATCAGAAGAGAGCCAACCTTCCTGACTGCACACTCAAGACAGGTGGGGAGAAGGGTGGGCGCCTCTTTTCTCCTCTAGGCTCTTCTCAGGACTTTCCACACCCGTCTCCTCCATTTCCCTGGGTTCAGTGACACCATGCCATCCAGGCCTCTGCGTAAAGGGGGGGACTGGGTGGGCGAGAAGGGTTGGGGTAGGTTGTTGGCGATGGACTGAACCTCCAGATGGAGGCCGCCGCCCTCACCCCATGTCGGAACACCAGGGAGCATGGGGACCCGCACCTGCCATTCTGTTCCCCAACTCGGCTGGGCAGCCTTTCGGGCTGGTGTGTCTGGCTGTCTTTCCTATTTCCCCCAAAGCACCAGGGCACCTGGACATCTAGACAGATGTCATAATAAAGGGTCTCCCAATCCCCATTCCAACCTGTCGCCTCCTACCTTTCAGCTCAGGGCCTGGCAAATCAAGTCGCCGCAGTAGAATTCCTTCTTTCTGGTTCTCCCCCTTTTGCCAGTGGGAAGCAACAGGTCGGCCAGACTCTAATTTTCTCGATCCCATTGGAAAGGCCCCGTTGCGTGAGTTTCTTTGCGGTCTGGGATGGGGCCCCTGGCCGCGGAGGTGTAGGGTGTTGGGGCCCGGGCCGCCCCACCTCCGTCCCCTGCCGTGTCCGGTGGACACTGGGCCTCCCCGCTGTCCTTCAGGCGGCGTCCCGGCCAGGAGCGGGTGCGCGGGCGACTCTCGGCCGGGCCGCCACCGCCACCGCCAGCGCCAGCGCCAGCGCCGCGGGCGCTCACTCGATCCGCACCTGCAGGCGGACGTTGAGCATCACCGAGGCCACCACGTAGAAGTAAGGGAAGTTCATGCGCAGCCGCCAGGCCAGGTCGAAGAAGGTGAGCAGCGTGCGCGTGAGCCCCTTGCAGAAGGCGCCATAGGAGCCTCGGACCGCGGCCGAGCGCGACAGCCGCACCGCCAGGCCAGACAGGGCCGCCGCCGCCGCCGCCGACAGAGCCGCGGACGCCGCCATGGGGCCCGGGCCGCCGTAGGCCCCGCCGACCTCCGACGGACTGGCTGCAGCGCGAGCCTGGAGGGCAGCCCGATGCCAGGCTTGGAAGCGTCGCCGGCCACCCGCAGCCCCGCCCGCGGGCTCCTCCTGCCCTCGCCGGCTCAGGCTGCCTTGGTGGCCGCTACCTCTGCCCGTGCTCCCCCGCGGGACCCGCTGCCTGCACAGCTCCGCCCCTCACCGCCTCCTCAGGGGCGACGCCCCCACCGCAAGCCCGCCCCCATCATGGCCCCGCCCCCGGCCAGGAGCTGCACAGTGGCACCTGCCGCCCAGGCCCGGCTCGCTAGGTCCGCTGGGCTCACGGGCCCGCCGCATTTACATAGCCCCGCCCACACGACCCGCCCCTCCGCGAAGCCCCGCCTCCCCACCAGCCCGTCCCACTTACTCAGCCCCGCCTCTTCCCACCAGTGCCTTGGTGCAAAGGTAGCCTGAGGCCTGGGCGGATTGGAAGGCACTGCTGCCAGGGTTGCTTTTGGGGAATCCTCTAGCATGCAGTGAGACTGGATGTCTGGCGGGTGTGGACTCCTTGCTATGCTGGTTCTGTACAAAACCGCATCCAAAAGGCCACACCCATGCACACGGCCACCATTCTCCAGGGTTCTCTCCAGGAAACCCGCCTAGCCAATCCATGGTATCTTTCTTTAATAGTGCAGTAACTACCATGGAGCAGCACTAAATCCACACGCACGCACGCACGTATTTGTTCCTTTTCTGCTGCATTCGCTCACTGCATATTTCGCTCACTGTGCTCATTTCTAATGAGCACTTTCTGAGCACTCCTTCTAATGTCCTGTTTGCCATGGCTGCTGAACAAGGTTGTGTTGCGTTTACATTTGCTCTTGTTTATATCCTCTCCCCCCTTTTTTTTTTGCTGGTGCTGTGCTTAAATGTCCTTTTGTAGTTTCATTTAATCTTTTTTGGCGTGGGGAGGGGGAGTAGTGAGGGTTGAACTCAGAGCCTAGTGCTTGCTTGGCATGGGCTCTTCCATTTGAGCCAGGTCCCCATTGGTTATTTTTGAAATCGGGTCTCGATTTCTGCCCAGGCCATTCTGGACCTCGATCCTCCTATTTGTGCTTCCCTATGTCGCTAGGATGATAGCCCAGTTACTGGTTGAGATAGGGTCTTAAGAATTTTTTGCCCAGCCTGGCCTTGAACCTCGACCCTCCCAATCTCTGTCTGCTAAGTAGCTAGGATTATAGGCTTGAGCCACCACGCTCAACATTTAATTTAATCTTTATGTTATGTAAGTTAAACCAAACCCAATCCAAATTCGAATGTATTTTTCTCAACTATTTAATGAATTGAAACTCTTGGGCTTCCTTATGGTTATGACTTTAAAAGCAGTCATCATGACTACCAATTTTCACAAGGAGGACTATCCTGAACTAGTAGGATTACTATAAATGTGTTAAAAGTGTTTGGGGCAAGTATATTATATTGCTTAACATTGTTCACTTACAGGTAAGGCAGTAGGAAGGAAAACTAAACTTTTTACCCCAATGTATAGGTAGATCCATATGTATAAGTATTACTTGCTTAAAGCAATGAAAAAAATAGACGAAAGAGAAAGGGGCACATAGACTTAAGCCGTTTAGAAGCCCTGTGTTCTAGGCTGGATTAAGCCCCATTTATTCGCAAAGCCTATTTTTCCAATTATTTCTGAAATCTCTCCCTGGCCTCATCTGCTTTTCTTGTACTGGGATTTTGAAATTGGGCACTGGGATTGATAGGGAAGTGCTCTAGCACTTGAATCACATCTCCAGTCCTTTCCACTTTTTGTAGTTTGTTTTCAGATAAGGTTTCAAGCTTTGTGGGGCTGGCCTTGGACTGCGGTCTTCCCATCTCTACCTCACCATTAACTGGGATTATAGGTGTGCTTCGATGCCTGGCTTCATCACATTTATTTTTAATATTTTATTTTTAAAATAATTACAGATTCACATGAAGTTGCAAAACTAGTATAAGAAAGACCTCGTGACTTTCATCCGACTTCCTCAAAAGGTACCTTTTTTGTAGATGTTGTATAATGCAAAACCCGGAAATTGACATTGGTATATTACTACTGCTAGACTAAAGGCATAATTCTGCTTCCACCATTTTTAAACCACATTGATGTGTGCGTATGACTATTTCCAGCAATTTTATATCATGTAATGATTTATGTGATCATCACTACTGAAGGTGCACACATGGTCCATTATCTAAAGGTACACCTCTGGGAACCTCTCAGCACTCACCAACAACTCTGCTCATATTTTGTTAGGTTTATACCTATTTCATTCTCTTTGGAGTGACTGTAAGTGACATTGTATGTTTAATATGTGTCAAACATTTGGTTTCCATATGTTCATTGTTAGTATATAGAACCACGATGTACATGGATGCATTCTTATGTATAGATAGATAAAATACATATGCAGTACTGAGGATTGAACTCAGGGCCTCACACTTGATGGGCAAGTGTGCAATTGCTATTTTAATCAAACTTTTCATTATTCTATAATTATAGATTTACATGCAGTTATAAGAAAAAATACAGAGATCCCACGTGTGCTTTAACCAGCTTCTCACGATGATAATCATTCATGGCTGATAAGATACCACATAACCACGATACTGGTAGTGATTCCATCCATGCTCTTTTCGTTGCCTTTTGTTGACCAAAGCCACCTCCACCTTGCTCTCTCTCTTTAACTTTTTGGCAACCACTAATCTGCTGTCTATTTCTATAATTTTGACATTTCAAGAGTTTACACAAATGGAATTATAGAGTATGGAACTTTGGATGGGCGTTTTAGAATAAAGCTGCTACAAACATTCACTTACAGGATGTTACGTTCATCTCGGTGTTAGATACCCAAAAACGTGATTGTTGAGTCATAAGCTAAGCGCATGTTTACTGTTGTAAGACTCTGCGAAATTTTTCCAGAGTGATTGTAATATTTTACATTCCTACTAGCAATTTATGAGTATATCCAGCTTTTCTCTGGGTTAGTCAGAGAAAGTCCGTGAATACAGACTTTTTTTTTTCTCTTAAGGACTTTTTTTTAGACAGGTCTTTGATATGTAGCTCGGGTTGGACTTGAACTTGTGACTCTCCTGCCCTAGCCCCTAGCCTCCCGAGTGTTGAGATTACAGCCATGCCTCACTCTATGACCAGCTATGGCTAAGTTTTGAGACTTCTTTATTCTAGTTTCTCTCTCTCTTTCTCTCTTTCTAGGCTGGTCTCAAATTCCTGGACTCAACTGATCTTCCTCCTGAGTCCTGGGATTACAGCCATGAACGACCAAGCCCAGCTTGTAAGAACTCTTTATCAAACATAAGGTCCCAATTTTTTTCTCCTGTTTTCATTTACAAGTTTTATAGATTTATATATCACACTTCAAGTTTGTGGTCGATTTGTGTGAGGTTTTAGGCGTAGGTCCAGGTTTAATTTTTGCCTATGGATGTCAAACTGCTAGAGCACAGTTTATTGAATAAAGGCTAGTCTCCCCACATTGAATTTCCTTTTTATTTTTGTCAAAAATCAGTTCAGCTGTGGGTCTCTTTTGTGACAACATTGAATTCTTATATTACTTATACAATTCTTTTTGTCAATTCCATGGGATTTTCTAGCTAGACTAGCCTGCATGCCTATCCTTTCTTCACTACCACATTGTTTGAATTATTGTATAGACAGTCTCCGACTTACGATGATTTGAGTTAGATTTTCCAACTTTACGATGGTATGAAAATTGTATACAGTGAATGTACATGGAAACAATGCTAGGAATCTCCCTGTATAGCTATTTTTATCTCAAACTAGCAAAAACGCTATGTCTTATTATCTCTTATGTCTTCTCTTCAACAAAATTGGAGAACAAGAGGGCGGAACAGGTTCTGCCTGGAAGAGAGAAGTGGGGTGGGGGCAGCGGGGAGAGATGGCCCAAACAATGTATGCACATATGAATAAATGTAAACACAATTTAAAAAAAGAATTGGAGGAGGAACTGAAAAAAAATAGAAAATTGTATCCATTGAGAGGAAACTGCTTTTTAGATTTTGAACTCTGATCTTTTCTGGAGTAGTTGCATGAGTATGATCCCCTCACACTGGGCAGCAGCACTGAGCCACAGTTTCCCTCTATTAAAAATGTTAAATTATGGTAAAATATGTGTAACATCAAATTTACCAGCTTAAGCACTTTTAATGTTCAGTGGTGTTAATAACATCCACGTCATTGGGCAACCCATGTCCATACCTCCAATCGCCTGCCTCAAAGCCCCTGACAGCCACTATCCTACTGTGGCAGGGAATTTGGTTACCCTGTGTACCTTACATAAATGGAATCACAGACTGTTTTTCTCTTTGTGACTAGTTTATTTATATTAAATAAAATTAAATGTAGTCTCTGAAAAACATGCTTTTTAAATAGCAAGCATAGAACCATGCTTAAAAAAAGAGCAAATCTTTAAAATCACACACAAAAAAAATTGAAGTGAGGTTTTTATAGGTAGAATAGAGTTGGGTGATTTAAAAAAAAATCCACTTTTCCAATTTTTGTCTTTTAATTGTTATTCTTATGCCATTTACTTTTAAAGTAATTATCAATACGTTAGGGCTTAAATCTTCCCTTTTACTATCTTTTTTCTTTTTATGGTACTGGAAATGAACCAGGGGCATCTCTTGCTAGGCAAGCGTTCTCCCACTTCAGCCACACCCACAGCCCAGGTGTTCTTATTTTGCTTTTTCGATAACATCGCTTCTCTTTGTCCCAGCTGGCCTCAAACCATGATATCTTTCTTTTTAAAAGCCAAAAAAGCTGTTATTTGTATGCCACACAAAAGAAAATTTACATTCTTCCTATTAACTAGGCATATCTATTTAAAATCCTTTCTTCTAGCTTTTTGGACTAAACGGCACATTACTGTTGTCTGTAGACAGCCTAGTGTGCAGTAAGTAGTACAGCAAGACTCCCTGCTCCTATCTAACTGCAAGCGAGTACCCAGTGCTCTCCCCATCCCACCCCACCCACTCTCCCCAGCCTCCGCTAACCTCAACTTTCTACTCTCAACTTCCACATGTGAGTGAGACCATGTGCTATTTGCCTTTCTGTGCTTT